CAATTATATTCCACAAATTCCTCTGCGATATTTTTAAAGTTATATTCATCTAATATACAATTTTGTACAGGAATCTTGAACTTTATAATAGGTGAAGAAACTTTTACGTTCTTGATTTTAAATTGGGTTCTACGTTCAATCTTAATACGAAATAAATGTAGTCTCCATTTTTCATTCCCCTACGTATTACAACATTGGACATTAACTAGCTATTTCGATCCTGCAAGTAATACTTCTACAAAATGACTCGAGAGTCAAGGAAGCTCCGAAGATATAACGATCTTCCGGCTTTTAAACTATCTTTACTCATCGTAATCACCAGTGCCGCAGACGACACTCTGTTACAACTTACTTTCATCGGTACAGCTGAACGTATCCAAAATGACATTAAACATTTTTTCATAAGCAAATTTGCCAATAACCAGTACGAAACAGGATTGAGTCACTTAATCAGGATCATCGTTCGCGATATCCCTTAATACACGACGAGGTTTCGTGCGCAAAGATTAACGAACCTCTAATAGCACAACTGTAGAATCGCCTAAGTATTGGTGCGGATGTTGCTTATAATTTATAGCCGATGATGTCATGCGTGTAGTCAAAATGTCTTGGTAATATGTCTCTCATGATTCATGTTTAATTATTATTAACTGTTCATTTAATACGCCTTAGATATTTTAATTAATATTATAAAATACTAGTTCCAAAACAGATCCCTAGCAAAAAGAATAACTGTTCATTATATTTTTCTAATTTACTTCCATGGCATGAGATAGATAAAAAGTATATTATTATAGCTTCTTCATAACACATAAATTAAATGATCGTTTCTATTAAGTGTCGCCAGTTCGTATTATTACTATCCTGTTCATCGATCTAATTAGTTATCTACTGCAGATTTTCAAACTCGTTTCAATTGCCATACAGAATCATCCATACATTTCGAAGAAGGAAGTCGATCTCAGCTACGACCTCGACTCGTCTCTGTTTCACGTGTATAAAAAAGCAATAAACGTGTACTTTATCATACGCGCCATCATCGCCTATTTGAATAACTGGAATAAACACGTCGAAGACGTAGCGGATCGCCGAATGAAATCTAATCGTTTGTTGCACAACGTGTAACCCTGTAGATTTCTGACAGTGAACGGAGTCGTTAATTGGAATTCGCTTATTTCACGGTCCATGAGTCGTCGGAATCGAGAACTGAATGCATCGATTCCGTTTTTTTCACGCTTATTCACTCCAATATTTCACGCCAAATGTTCACTATGAAATTCACGATTCATCGCTTTGTAAGATTATTCTCGCTCGTAGATCTTTATCTACAGTTTATACATCCAATATCAATTTAATGAAGCATTTACTAAATCACAGACACGTTCTTAAACACAGTAGAAGAAATTCTTCCTATTGAGTCAAATAATGATCAGATTTTACTCATAGAAAACTTCGAAAGAATATGAAGGATGTATGTAACTTGCAATAAACGTACATCAGTTTTGAAAGGCAAAAGAGATATTAATTCACATTTAACTTGTCAAATTGACATCTTAAAATTTTGGAACGTGTCTTAATTCAACTACTTATAAACGCGAGCCAAATTCGGGTGAAATTGCGAAACGTCCACGTGCGTCTAACATGTACATGCATGTACGCGATAGCCGTTGAAAGAGTCGAGCACAGCGAAAGTGTGGGAACCTCCTCTCGAGGACATACATAAACGCACCAGGTGTATAGGTATTACTTTGGTCGCGTACGATTAACGCTTATATACCCGTGCGTGATTCATGCGTAAATTCGTGTCTGGTGACGCAACCTCCGTTACACGAACTCAGTTTTGACCGTCGGTCCACCTGGCGCATCGCAATCTTTTTTTCTTACGGGAAATTCCAGTCTCCCTTTCATCTTTCCGATGTCAATTAAAAATGATTGAGCTTGCGTTCAATCCTGCTCGGCGTTAATATTTGAACTTGTAACTTTATGAACTCTTCCCAATCTTATATCATTTTCATTTTTAAAAAGAACACGAATGATTGATAAAAAGAAATGAGCAATGATACGTTCTAAAACAGCTGTTTCTACTGATTACGATCAGGACGAAGTATGCATATATTATACATAATAATTGCGAGGAGCAAGCTTTATGGTATCTTGCAACCGTCTGCATGCTTTCGGTGTATTGATCGAGAGGGTCTGAAAACCGCAACCAGGTATCTGAACACCGTTGTCTCAAGGTACGCGGAAGAGAATGCCTCCCCGAAATCCTTCTTCAGGTTTCGATTATCGAGACACATTACAGTGGAGCATAATTTGCGGTCAACGCTCAAAGATTGATCACCTCACGTAGACCTATCGATTATGGCAGATCGGCCTGTAGAATGATACTGTCGATATACCGTTCGATCAGAAAAAAATTGTGATGCCGATTGGAAGACATAATTATAGTCCGAGAAGAATAAACATGAAAGGTGAAGAACGAGAATAACGGCGATTCGAGTCATTCTTATCTCAAGATTTTATACATATGTGTGACTGTACATACAAATATACATATATCTTTTTAAATTATCTATTCACGGTTTGATCGCGGATGAAAGACGTTGAAATATTCTATCTAATGTAAGTAATCCCTCATCTTCCAAGTTAACGCTAAACTTCGAGTTATAGTTAATCCTTTCACCGGAGAACAAGGTAATTTGTCATGCGAAAATGTCTCATACGTTGCCAGTTTATTAGTCACCCTGCTACTAAAAACAGTATTAAGATGCAATCACGTTTTCTACAATACAAACTAATCTACCGTACAACATGGAATTGCAAAGCTTTTCTACATAATTTTATCACCGTGCTAATTCATTAATTTATTCATAGATCAATACTTGCTGTTTTCCTACGCTATGATAATGCACTTTCCATATCTGGTTCTTTGTAAAGAAAATTGAATGTTGCCCACCCGAGATCGATGAAACATGTTAACATGTTTGTCACGTTACGTTGTTTCTATGAAAATGTTCACGTTACACATTGTCCTCGCGCGATTCGATTACTCATTGCTAATTTAGTACCGCAATTACCGAACTGAAGACGTGAACAGTAAGGCTGGTTTTTTAATTGAGATCCACGAGCGCCTCGTAATGGTCGCGTTTTTCGATCCGGCGACGAACATAGTAAAGTCATCAAGTAAAAAGGCTTGATCGTTAATTCGCGAGTCACGTTGCTGATTCGTTCGCGTGTACCAATCTGCAGTTCGCATCTGCAATCACCCTCGGACCAATCTGTGGTCCTCATCGCGCGTTCCATTCGTCGCATTGAGTTGTCTCGCGTCATAGAATTATCAGTAATCTTTCGGGCCAAGCGTTTCATAGGAAACACATTTCCTTTTATATAATTACAATGTTGTATAATCTCTTGTATGAACTTCTAATATTATCAATTTAGAGATAATAGAGTCAATATAACAGATTTATAATAACGATTAATAACTAAACGTTAGGATTTCAAAGAGAGTCATTGAATCCTTTCGCAACGACTATAAAAGGAAACGATTTCAACGACTCACGACGATGTATCAAACTAATCCTGATACGAGTACAAAGTCATGCACACGTACATCTTAAAAGGGAACGTGACGGAGATACAAATTCAGTTAGAACAAAATTAAAAAAGAGTTATGAAATAAGATGCGAGTCCGCATGCAAATCAGCACGACGTCTCGATGCAGTTCGAAATCCGCGGAGACGACCTGTTGCACTTCTCTACGTGCCGATGTGCAGAAACTCGCATTCACGATGAGCTTAACCCATTTACATCATTAGTGTTCCTTTCAATTTTCTTGAAAATTATCATAACTGCGTGTACACGCCTATACGTACACTTATGGTTAAATTCAATAAAACAAAAATATTAGGTATATTTTTCATTCAGTATGCATTACGTTCGATGCAAATGGGTTAATCCAGGCCTCGAGGTTTAAGGATCGAGTTTACACGACTGTTAAGACAGCTGTAAAATCGCTTATATCCTTGAACCTCTATCAGGTAGCCGACGTTGAGAAATAAATATTGTATGGAAAACCGTAAAATCTGTTTAAAGACATTCAGAGATTCAATCGATTGCTCGACGTAGAACGGCCAGTAAATTAATTCTGCACATCTCTAGTGCTTTACATGCAAGTACAAATGGGAGGTCGTAAACAGCTTTTACGACGCGAGATTCTTTAAACATATTCGATGCTTTTTATTAGATGATCAAGCTGAAGATTCTCGCCGCTGGATAATCCTACACGGAATTATTAAAAATTTTCCATTTAAGTCTATCAAAGGAAAACTAGAAACAGTTGCAATTTGTACTTCGTGTACTTTTTATTTGGAAATTGCAATAAATTGGGAATTCATTAACTGCTAATGAACAGTTCGAAGGACGCGAAATTCTTTGTACATGTTCGCCTAATTCTTTGCGTACACGCCTCTTTATTAGATGTTCAACTGGAAGATTGTACCTGGATAATCTTAAGAATTGCCATACATCGAAGGGAAAGTAGAAAGGGTCACAATCAGCATTTCGTTTTCATTTGGGGAAAGCAGGAAATTGGATAATTCGTTAACTGGTGACTCTAGAGGCGGCAGTAGGACCGCGGGTTGACTCGCTTGTCGATAATAGTACCCAGCGGGTCCGCTTCCATCTTGCACGAGACCCTGCTTGTAGGTACCTAATTATCTGCCATCAACGGAAGAGAGAGAGAGAGAGAAAGAAGAGAGAAATGGTGACGGATGAATTGTTCCGAAAGGGGACACCACGTGCTGAAGAGAAAGCACGTATGGCTGTTTCATTATCGCAAATTAGTTCGGTCCTCCTCGTGAAGAACGATCTTGTAACTGGTGCGCGGAAAATTACTTTCGTTTGTTTTAAACCAATGTTCAGCGACAGAATTTGTCAATCATGTATTAAGGATGTATAGGCTATACACTTAAACAATGCTAGCATGTTGAATTTGTTATTATAGATTCCTATTACTATTAACAAGCTACCTGCGAAATTTTAAATCA